TCAAGAATGTGCGTTTTTCGCGTGTGTGAAATAATAGAATCGCAGGAATAAAATAAAGAGAGTAAGGGAAAGAAGAACACCGAGATTTATACTGGTTCACCACCTCGTGGCTAATCCAGTCTTCCGAGAGACTCTCTCGAAAGTCCTACTAATCTTCAAGCTTCAACGGGTGCTTGAAAAACCGGTACAACTTGAGAACTTGAATCACACAAGCCTCACTTTCTTACAACAACAAGACTTGAGTCACACAAGTCTTAAGAACAACACTCAAAAGAGATTGAGTTTACAACACAAGAATGAAAGCTCACACAATTGAGCAAGTAGTGTTTGAAAGATTTAAGCTCTATGGATGACAACTTCTTTAGCACTCAAAGAAAATATTTCTAACTCTCAAAAATAATATTTTGATGAGGAAGATGAAGCAAAGGATGAATATAGCTCAAAGAATATATTGGAGTGCAAGAGGTGTGTGTTGAAATGAAGGAGAATGAGGGATTAAATAGGCTGAGGAAAATAAAGCCGTTGAAGAAAGCTGATGTTCTGTACCAGAGAGAATTAATCGATTAAATTAGGAATTTTAATCGATTAAAGTGTACAGAAGCGAAAAGGCTTGAAACCAAAATGGAATTAATCGATTAAAAATGAGGGAATAATCGATTATTCTGTTCTATTTGAACTAATCGATTAAATGAATAATTTTAATCGATTAAGTTGATTTGCCTGAGAAAACCAACGTTGTGAAATTGGATCTAATCGATTATTTTAGAGTAAATAATCGAATAAAGTAAAATAATGCGCAAACATGAAGGGCCCAAGCCAAGCGCAAATGGAAGACCTTTGGCTTCTAACTCGTTGTTTGAGACAGCGAGAATAAGGAAACGCTCCTCAAGGAAATAATATCCCTTATTCAATGAATTTGAATAGGGGAGAAAAGGTGAGTCCAAAAATTATTTTGTGTGTCCAACGATGTATACGAAAAATATGTAAAGTATATTTTTCTTACCAAAAAAGATGTGTAATCTTTAAAAAGAATGTTTTTAAGAAATTTTGACACACTTATTTTGAAACTGACTCAGTAAAAAAAATATTTTAGACAGAGGAAAAATAATTTTTCAACTGACTCAAAAATAATAATTTTTATCCCTCAGAAAATAATTTGATTGTGCAGAAGATAATGTCATCCTTACAAAAATTCCTAGACTCAATAAAAATAAAAAGTCTTCGGAGTCTTCGCTTCACTTCAAAAAACTGCGTAGGGGTGAGCGTGAATTTTATCGTCGATACTTCTTGATGCCCTTCTTTGCTTTTCTCGATCCGAATTTTTTTTTTCGAATATCGATTTAATCATCCTGTTTGTCATTCATCAAAACAAAAATAATCCAAAAAATAATAAAGGGGTTTGAACTCATGTCCAATAGGATATGCAATCAAAGTTGGATTTTCAGAATGAGAATTATTCCCCCATACATCTCTGAAACGTGATTCCCCCTTATTTGTTGCACGTACCCAAACACTTCCCCTTTTTGGCATTAGCAAAAAGTACTTAATACTCCCTCCGTCCCACTGTCTTTGTCCACTTTTGACTTTTGGAACTGTTCATTTAAGCACTTTGACTCTTCAAATTCTCTCAATGTGTAAGCCTAAATATAGTCATGTGTGATCTTGTTTAATTTGTCTTAACATATAGATTATTAATATATAATTTCTATAATTTTTTAATATACAAATTACAAGATAAAATGGATTAAAGAAATGCATTGGATGGTGTGCCAAAAGGTAAGTGGACAAAGACAATGGGACGAAGGGAGTAGTATTTTAGTTTATTGAACGAAAAAGGCGGATTATACTAAAGATAAAGAAAGATAATCCATAAAAATTTGGAATGAATGTACTCCCTGAACATCGAAGATTGATACAAATATTCAATGTTTTGCATGGTTGTTACTCTTTAGTGCCAATTTTTTGGTTGCCCCTTACTTTGGCACTTCTCAAGGTAACATGTAAATTATTATTACCCATAATCAAATGAATACAAGAATGTCAAATGCTTAACCATAAGATGGTTACTTGCAAAAGTATGTAAAAAACAACCTAAACCCCTATACAAAGCAGAAAGTTACAAATCAAAATGCCCCTACACAAACAAATGTAGTAGGCCATACATAAATCATCCACTAAGAACCAAAAGGGAACTCAAAAACAGCATCAACAAGAAGATTACAGACAGAACAAGTCCATATTGCAACGCATTCCACAATCCAGTTTAATCAAGCAAGGCCTAGCATCAGTAGCATCATGTATATCCAATCTCAGCTAAGGTTCAGAAGATCAAGACCCCCTTTTCACAAACAAAAGGGATAGGTCTGAACCCAAGTAGTACAGTCTACACAAGCACGGCTACCTACCATTTAAGATTGATAGCTAGCAGTAGAACATCCATTGCAACCAGGTGTGTCCATCTCCCTTCGAAGAGTGCATCATCTCTCCAACTCAAGATCTAAGTTCAGCACAGCCAGGTTACGCACATACCATGGTATACAAAGTGAAACCAGTCACTGCCAGTGGAAGACCAAGTAGGGGTACAGCCACAGAGAGAGCCAACCATTCATCCAAACTTCCATCTGTCAGTGATATGGGAAGCAAACAGAATGTATACTAAAAGATGGAGGGTTCAGAAACATGAGCCTCCAAACACAAGATCCACAGTAACCCAAACAAAGTTCAGAACCAGTAAGCCAAGTAAAATCACAGCGAGGAGGACTAGCCTTCATACATATACAAGTCAAAGAAAGAGATGTAATATGCATTGTGGGCTAAGTCCAAGAGCAAGAGCAAGGTGAAAGAGAAGTAAAGAAAAGAACGGGGTGGGAAGAGAGAAAGAATGAAGAAGGGGTGAGAGGGGGACAACAAGAAGGAGGAGGCAGGGTGCAAACACCCCCAACCGGACCCAGACTTAAGTCAATGTATCCAGAAGGGGTACGGTCACTTAAGTCTGTTTCAGCCACCCACAAGGGGTTACCCACCCAAAAACCCAGGCCAGACACAACCATATACATAGTCCCACTCAAAGGAGGATCAGGCTTATGTAGTGGATTGTGTCCAGCAGAAAGAAGAGTGAGATGAGAGACAGAGAAAAGAGGGGAAGAAGAGAAGGGAGGGGGGGGGGGGGGAAAGAAAGAGAGAAGATGGGTGAAAACACCCCAACCGGGACCCAATGATACCTCTTTATATCCAGAAGGGGTATAAAGAGGTAAAATTGTTTCCACCACCCCAATACCATAGTCCAGAGACTAAGCCATTGAGGCTGGCCCAACCCAAGGAACAATTATCTCAGAAGAGAGACTGTTCCAGCAACCCAAGGACCTAATATGGACCCAGTTCAAACTTTAGTTATCCAGAAAATGGGTATCTACTATTTGAACTGTTTCCAAGTCAGTCCAGGACCTGAAGTTAATCCTTCAGCCCACACAGGGTCAAAGGGTTAACTTCATTTCCACCACCCCAAGCAGTCAGGCAATGATCAACCACTCCTCAAACACTTTGGCACTTCTCAATTGAATTAAACTCTGAACTTCCCCTTTGATGCAGTTCATTAGGTTTCGTGCTTGAAGCATCCACTTCAAATATGTAGGCTTCAAGCACAACCTTGCAAGTAGGGGTGGACACGGTACGGTTCTGGGACGATTTCGGAACCGCCGGTTCTGGTACCGCCACCCCTTGGTACCGGTACCGTTACCGGACCGGGCGGTACCGATTCCGGTACCCGGACCTACGGTTCCGGTACTGAACCGGCCGGTTTCGGCCACCCCCAATATTTTTTTTTGCTTTTTTTAAAAAATGTTAAACTGTAAAATTATAAATATGCAATTGTTAAAGGAAAAAATGAAATAAAAAATCTAAAAATCTAGTTGTTATTTAAATATTGTAAAATGAGTAATACACGAACTGAAGAACAACTACATTTAATATCCCGACGGTTCAAAAAAAGCGACGAGGTAAAGAACCGTAAAGAAACCCTCGAAGGAGCTTATATATCGCTCACCTAAAAAAACTAATTACATATTTACATATCTACATTAACATAAAAAAAGTTTATAACTTATTCCTCAGAACACGGACTTCCATCTGTGGTTGCATTCATGTAATGATTAGAACTGAATTCGTACTCTGGCTCTTGAGTTCGACGTCTTGCCAAGAGCCAATCTCGGTTGCAAACAAGTATTTCAAGAGATTCAGCGCTAATAGAACTTTGGAAGTTTGTTAGAATGTTTCTGCCAGCACTGAATTCTTGTTCCACTGCTACGGTTGACACCAGGACGGATAAAACTTGTCTTGCTAGCATTCCGAGACATGGGAACATGTGTTCGTTCCGCTTCCACCATCCGAGGACGTCAAACTCCATGTCGTCGTCGTAATCGCATGGCACCCCTTGGTACATAGCAAGTTCGTTGTGCGAGCTTACTGTTGTACCACTTGAACTCGTCGAAGGCTCAGCACGCTTCCCTTTCTTTGCAAAAAGCCCACCGACTATTCCTTTAAAACCTTTTTTTGATTTGGGGGGTGGGGGAGGTGCTGTTTCTTCTGGTACATTACCGTATAACCCTTGATATTCCTTAAATAAAGCCTCAAAAAGAGTTATAACATTATCTCTTTCTTTTTCCCATTCTATTAAATGGCTGTAGTAATAATTATTTTCATCTAAAAAACAACTATAGTAATAGTCAATTAGAATTTTATAATTTTCAATCTTAAAGCGTGGATCACAAATAATACCTATTTTATAAATATCAGGAATGTACAAATAATAAGTACACCATTTATCTTTCATAGGAGAGATAAAAATCTGGATCAGCCACACTTTCACGAAAACATGTTGCGATTGTAACGTACTCTTTAAAAAATGTATTAGTAGTTGGTTGGTAAGCATGCAAAAAAGTAAGAGTTGCGTTATTAAAAACTTCTAATACGGCATTCAATTTTTCAACAATAACAAATTCAATAGGTGAAATCATTAAAACAAGTTCATCCCTACAACATTCAGCAAGTTCCTCTTTGTAGCTTAGAATCTGTGCTATCAACTTGTATGTACTATTCCATCTAATGTTGATATCTTTGGAAAATATTATTGCTCTTCTACCCTTAGACTTACAGAATGTCTTCCAGGAATTCGAAATAAGACGACTACCCCAAATCTTTCTAATTCCATTTTCAATATTCGTCAAACCCCCCATAGCTTCTAATCCCTGTTGAACACATAAATTTAAAAGATGACAGACACACCGTTGATGCAGAAATCTACCCATACTCGTAGTAGGGGGAAATTTCTTTAAGTCTAGGAATAGAAGCAGTATTATTTGTAGCATTATCAAAACCAAATGCAAAAACTTTATCAACTAAGTTGTATTCCCGCAGAATACGCTGAAGCAATAGAAAAATATTTTCAGCAGTATGAGGATCATTGAATTCACGAAATGCAAGAACACGTTTATGCATAATCCAATCACTATCTATCCAATGACAAGTAACACCCATATAAGACAAATTATGATATGTTTCACCCAAAATATCAGAACAAATAGTAACACGAGAATTAAAATTGAGAAAAAAATTTGCCAAATTTGTTTTTTCAGGTTTATACTGTCGAATAATTTCTCGTTTAATTGTTTTTCTTGAAAAACCTCTTGCTTGAGGGTTTAATGCTTGTTGTCAATAATCAATAAATCCAAGTTTTTCAGGAAACATGTATGGCAAATTTTCTTCACAAATCATTTCGGTCATTTTTTGTTTATTTTGCTTGTCGCTATAAGCAAAAAAGTTGCCCTTACCCCTGTTAGCAAACTAAGAAATTTGGGTTTGCACTTCTTGTCGTCCCTTCTTTTTCGTCGTGTATTTGGCATACTCCACGAGATGCCTCGACCTCAGGTGTTTTTCCGGACCACGATAACCGCCGGAAACTCCCATTTTAATGACGGTGGCACAATATTTACAAGTTCCATAAACTATGCCATCTTTTGTTTCTTTTTCAAAATGATAAACAAATAAATCTGATTTTAATTTTTTTTACCTTTGTCCTGACCTTGAGAGGTCTCGGGCTCACCTGCCTCCTTGTCGACGTCGTTGCTGTGCGGTGTAGGCTCCCCGTCCATTCCTGCTTCATTAATCTCCTCGAATAAACTTTCAAGAGTTTCAAGATTCACGTCGCCTCTACCTGACATGTACTGGTCGGATTCTTGATCCGTCAAAGCGTCGCCCATGAATTGATCGGGGATACTAGGAAAGGAAGAGACAGAGTGTCTTCCTCGAGAACCACGGAGGTCGAACCATCGAAGGTGGCTTTAGCTTTGCCTTTCCTCGAACTTCGGTTCACGGCTCCCATATCCACGGACCTTCTATCGGACTCTCTCGACATTTTAATATATAAATTTTTTGATATTTAAAAAAATAATATATTAAATTTCGAAAATATAAAAAATTTTCGAGATTTTATTTATTAAAATTTCAAAAAATTCGAAAATTATAAATTATTTAAAAAATATAATATATTTAAAAAATTAATTATATATTTAAATTATTTAAAGAATATATTTAAAAAATTAATTATATATTAAATTTCAAAAATTTCGAAATTATAATATTAGTAATAAACTAAAAATATATGATAATTAGTAATATGAATAATGAATGTATTTATAGGTTTTTATGTAATATATTAATATATATTTATATTATTATATGAATATAAATTGTATAAAAATTGAGAGAAAAATAATAAGATTGAGAGATTGAGAGATGGATTGAGTGTGATTTTTTTGGAAAAAAATGGTAGAATTTATAGTGTTTCGCCTCCCCTCCCCCCTCCCCTCCCCCACCTCAAACGGCTAAATAGCCGTTGAGGCCCCCCCACTGACTTTTTCCTTTATTTTTTTGCAGGTGGACCGTTGGGAAAGCAGAAGCAAAAAAAAAAAAATTGGTACCGGTACTGGCGGTGCCGGTACTGAAAATTGGGCACCAGAACCGGTACCGAGGAGGGCAGTACCGGTACCGGTTCCCAGAACCGGTGTAACACCCCGGCCGGCCGTGACGGTGGCGGGTACCAGCGGTACTGTTGCCGGTCACGGTACCGTATCGGTACCGTTTCCACCCCTACTTGCATGCATCTAAACATGATGGTTAGGTACCCAAAAACTTTTGGGTCCTTGGGGGTTAGGCAAATAATATCATAGCTATAAGAAAAATCCACGTGTTTAGCAAAATGAGTGGGATCTATGTGTCCTACGCGATTGTAATAGTGACAAGTTACATTGAAATTGTGCATATGCGTAGGTAGAGCCAAATGATTTCGATGTGATCTAAAATATGGTGAACCACTACGATCGATGTGTGAGCGAAGGTTCTGAACAACGCAAGGATGTGGAGAGATCAAGGGAAATATGGTGAACCACTATGATTGGTGTGCGAGCGATAATGGCAAGAATTGTGCGCACAATGAGTGCCCATTATGTATGTAATTGTAGGTAATATAAATAGAGTGAGAACCCTCTATTGTAAGTCAAGTGAAAAACACTGAAACACAGTTATTAATAGAAATATTGTGAGATTTATCAATTATCATTTTAATCCATTCTTCACCGCCATAGTTGTTGGGCTAATTCCCATCAACATCGTAAGCATTCTCTACCTTTAACCGGGATTGAAAGCTATCAGTTGGACATAATTATTGAGTTGTATTTTTACACCATTAAAATGGGTAATTATACAATAAAATAATTATGGTTTCGGTTGTGACTAAATAATTACTCCGGATTTATCATTAGCGTGTTAAAATTAGAGTAGTTATTATGTAGGTGAACTACGAGAGGGTCCCTAAATACTTTTCTGCAACCCCACACATTCTATATAAAAATAAATTGACAATCCAACTTTTATAAAAACATTGGATAATTTATTTACCATTTTCTACCTCAAACTTTTCATCATCAAAAAACTTTTTGTTGTTTGAAACTCTCTCCTTTTACACTTTTTATTTTATCTCTAAAACCAAAAAGATCAAAAATATTTTACAACTTATTTTGTAAACTTTTGTTTAAATTAAAATAACTCGCGTCTCCCTGGGGTTCGACACCCTACTTACAAGGGTTCTTTTAAGTGGTTACTTTTGCCCGTTCTGTACTGCAGATCAATGGTCGACCGTTACCATCCAACGATCAACCATTATCGCCATGGCAGAACTGGTTTGAGACACGGTCGACTGTACCGTAGAACATTCGATCGTTCTGCGATTGGTTCAGAAATTTTGCACAGGACTTTGTCTTCAACCTTGGTTCAAACTTCCAAAATACCATTTTAAACTGCCAAACTTTAATTTAAGTATATAAAAATGTTCTCTAGCATCCATAGATCATTTTTAAACCATTAATTCGAAACTTTAACAACACTTTGAAGGTTTATGATTCTTAGTTCATCAAAAACATATTTTGAGCTTTCCTAACACATAACTAAACCAAATGACTGTTTATGAACGTAGAATAATCTATATAAACATTGTAGCCATTATATATATTTAGGGGCTCATTTCGAGCTAAAACAAAGGAAATTGAAATTTCTAGCGAAACTTTCGACAAACACCACGCCTATCTCTGGCGACCTCAAGCTCTCTTGACAGGACCACTGCATTCTCCACACTCAAAGGAACAAAAAGGAAGAAGATTGAAGGGAAATGGTGAAAGATGAAGGAGAATTGGAGCTCATTATATAGAAAGATTATGGAGGATGAAGCCAAGCTGCCGAGTCATTTTTGGTGATCGACAAATATCTTCAACAGCAATTTGGAGATTTGCACGCCTCTCCCTGAATACGACTTAAATGGTTCCATTTGGGGTACACTTATTGGTCCAACTTTCTCTAAATTAAAATTTGATTGCACCGTTACAATCAGAAAGTCAAACTCTACACAACAATATAATTTTCAAATTTAATTGACAAACTTTATACATAACATACTTTTGGGTCTATCTCAGTAATTAATTAATTATCAGTTAATTAATTTTGATAGGCTTATTTGTTGGGTGTTACACGTCACATTCCCCCTACAAGAATTTTGTCCTAAAATTGTTCTAAGGTATAGTTTTCGGCCATGGTTTCACAATCGTGGTTCATCTTAGCATGGGGCGGATGGCTTTTCCATTCCCAAGGAAGCTCTTGTTCCTAATACTATCTTAGTAATTCTTTATTTGTGTTTTGTTCAAATTATATCTCGACTCCAGCGTGATTGCTGCATGACTAGTTTGTAGGGAATCACAATCAGTTAGGTCTCACTAATCATCTACTCGTTTTCTATTTATGCCCCCTCTGTTGTAAACAAAGCTTTGATGACGTCGTATCAATAAATTATTTCTCCCTCTCGAAGAGACTTGAAATCAAATATGATTAACAACTTATGTTTTCTAATGATTAAGTATTGAATAATAGTTTATCTTGGTCACACATCGATCTAGTTCACATTTCAAATCTGCTCAAGTTTTGCCCTCAAGCCGAGTGTGGATGGAGTTCCTCCAAAGGTTATAGTTCATATCCTCGATAGTTCCATTGGCATAGTCATACGCGAAGTCTTTTCATTTGTCTCATTAGATTATGACACCGACATAAGATGGTTGTTGAAATTCCTTGTTGATTAACAATGTTGGGCAACATTCATATTCTTCGTGTGATTGACAATAAGGCTCTGAAGCTTGTTTCATTGATTAGATCTTCAAATTCTGGAGTTGTTTTTCAAGTTATCTTAGGCAGTGATTACTCCATAGTGCTATGTTTTTTCAATTCAGGCAGCACCATAACATCACAATCATTTCACAGTGTCCTCACTTCATAGTCATATTCACCTCGTAGGTAGTGAACTATTGGGGTCAATCAGTGGTAGTGTCATTTAGTTTTCCACTATCTACAATGTCTCCATGTCCCTAGCGTATTCGCTGCATCAACTCACATTTTCTCATCTATCTAGTACGTAATCTACTCGTTTTTCTCTTTTCAATAGGAAAGAGAATTTCTTCAACATGGGGTCTCATCCATGATTCTAGACAATAGAAAGGATTTAGCAATTCACGTGAGGACTTTCGTTTTACAAATTTATTTGGTGGTAGTTCTAGAAAATTTCTCGTAACGGTCTCCATGACACCCTTTTGTTCGGTGCTCCCTTGCTCAATGTACTCAATGCGATTTCAGTATTTCTACTGACGCGGTGCAACATTGCCTTCATATTTGTAGTGTACACCTCTTCACTTTTGATGAACTAAAGACTTTAGTCATCGAGGTTTTCAACAATTATATACTGGAATGACGTAGTCATACAAAACAATCTTGACGAAATCAAGATGGTTTTGTCGATGCGTTCTTTTCAAGACCCTTTCATTATTATGTTTCCAATCAGATGATTCTGAAAACACGAGTGGAAATTTTCACAATTAGCATTGTCATGTGACACTTTTGTCTTACAAGGCATCATTGTAATGATTATATCATCATTTGATTCAACAGGAGATCTCAAAAACACGTTACCATACTATGATTCCAACATGAGTAGGAATTTGACCACTTTCAAGTCGATCGAAGTGGAGAGCTCAAGAACTAAGGAGTGTAGTGTAGCCAACGTATTTGCTCTAGTTTACAAGTCAACTTGATTGGTCCGGGAATGTGATTCGTTTGATTATCATGATATTAAGGTCTAGCATTTACGACAATCATCATACGTTGTACAAGGGATCATGGAATTTCATTTCTAAGAATCAATATATTGTCTTCACCACATTTCTCGGGCAAGTGAGTTGTTTCCTCGGAACTCTTCATCATGTAGTTCACGATCATCAAGGACTTGGATTCATAATGGTTTGTGGCACCTCACGTAGTTGGAGCGTCGATTCGCGTGTCGTAGAAAACTGTTAATCAAGGTTGATCAATCTTCAACATGCAATGTGTAACGTGTGAAGGTGCCTACCAAGGTTCGAAGCAACAATCATCTATTTGTGTGTTATCCGCGTCTCACATATAATCGCTACATTTTGTTGTCCAGCTAAACTGGTGGTGTCGATTATCTAGTCCCATCTCGTTCAGCGTTGGAATTTCTTTAGACATTGATACAACACAATCCTAGTAGACCCGCTATGCTCTATCCGAAGCAGGTTGTGTGGCGAGATTCACCGAGGAACGACGTGAAGAAGTGCGGTCTTTGCCAGCGTGAAGGTCTATGTTCGCGTCTGAAAGGGTTTTGCTTGTTGCTTTTTTAATTGGATAAAGCTATTTGTACCCCAAGGATTTGTACCCCATTTTGTACACCGCAGGGATGCACCAACATTTTGTGTTAGTGTAATGCTAATTTTTGTTAACGCACCAACAC